TTAAAGACTGAGACATCAAATTTTCGGCACGTTTATGTGTGAGCCTACATCTATAATTCATTGATGGTGGGCTATTGTGCGATTGCACGGGTGTCGAGTATGTGCCTCGTATCGTTGTCTACATGATGAGGACTTGGAGTATCGTCTCCTCTTTGCGGTACATGACACTGCTTTGAGCGGTAATCTCGGTCGTGAGAAGACATTTGGCTCAGTTGGCCATGCATATTGGTGGCCTAAGTTGTACAAAAAGGGGTGAGCACACATGTGCGTACATGTGAAACGTGTCAACGGGTCAAACTCTCAGCACATGCGGTTGCACCGCTTGCTAGTTACCTGTACCCATTGGAGGCTGGGATTCCATTAATATGGACTTTGTGTTTAGCCTACCGAAGAATTTGGACGGCACCACTGGTATTGTGATCATTGTTGAACATTTGAGCAATATGGCTCAATTAGCGGCTGTGCCCGATTCCATCGATGGCAATAGTATAACAAACCTGTTTTCTGTCCGTTAGTTTCGTCAACACGGTTTGACTGTGGCAAATGGCTCGGATCGTGATCCACATTTCACTGGCCAGTTATGAAATCCCATTCCAGAGGGGCTAGGCACCAGGTTGGATATGTACACAGCGGATCATCCGCATATCAATGGTCAAACTGAGCGTGTCAACCGCGTTATTGGTGACATTTTGCGCAGTGTTTGTGCTGATACGCCTGGGCGTTGGACCGCTATGCTCCCCGTGGTAGATTCTGCGTTAAACTACGCTTTTTATGCATCCACTGGATTTACTCCATTCTACGTTACTGGTCTTACTCACCCACGCGTTCCGTAAACGCTTTCACTACGACGTTCTGGGCTTATGGTGCAGAAATAGCCAATCGGCCTGATGCTTTCAGCCCAGCGTTTGATTAGAAATAGGTGAGAGAGTTTCTCGCCACGCGATTGAATGTCTTAATACATCTACGTGACGCATTGGCTGATGTCCAGGACATACAAAAAGGACAAGCTGATGCCAAAGGCATAAAAAGTTAATTGAGAGGTATAAAGTTGAAGAATAGTATTGATTGAAGCTAAGAATCTACATTCCAAGGTGGTGTCCACGATCTGAAAGAACAATTTGCTTCCTCGATACATTAGTCTGTTTACAGTTGCAGACAAGAAAGGCCTGGCGTACACGCTCAACCTCCCATGCAAGATGCGAACACACCAGAGTTATATGTCGGCCTTCTAAGCCTTACCTCGATCCATCGCTGGTGAATCACGAGGCACTGGCGCCGAAAGAGTTAGCTATGCCACAAGTCTAGGGACCCCTTTAGAGAATATCCATTTGTTCTTTAAGACACGTCAATCGGTCACGCAGACCGTGCACCTCGTGCACTAACTCGTCGACGACGCATCAAGATTTACCGACCGCCGCATGCTCTTGTTGACGAGCAAGGGGATCAACAGCACTATGCTGAACGAAATCTGCAGCGACATCGTCGCGACGGTCAATAACAGTATTGGTACAGTGGCGAGGGTACCCGGAGTCGGAAAACTCATGGGAGTACGAAGTGCCACTGCGGTAGAATTTTCCATATGCCAATGACGTTTTTAAAAGTCGTCTTCAGGGTCAGTATACCGTACCGCTTCCCACTAGTCGATGTGGGAGAGGAAGGAGGTTGCAGCTGCAGCAGGTGTACTGACGAGCGGGAGTGTAGATGACGCAGCATAGCGGGGGAGATGAAAAGACCGTAGTTGGTCTTTGACCTTTTGTTCTGCAAAACAAAAGATCATCTTTTTTTCTAGCCGAACGTCGGCAAGAAAGCGCTCTCTTGGCAATTTTAACAGGCTTGGCAGACGACGTGCTATGCGAGCTCAACCCGTGAAGACAACATTACTTTTCCGCCTCTGTATTACCAGGGAAGAATACGACGGGTTCTGTCAGCATGGTGGAAACTGATTCACTTTGAGTGTGTACATTCAGCCTGTCAAGGTACTTTTGAGCGGACATACGCTCAACCTCTAATAATCTCGCTCTGAGAGTATCCCTCCTCGCTAATGATGTGGCTGTGACAGCCTTGGATCCGTGATCCATAATGCGAGTAATTGCCCGGCAGTCTGGCGAATGCGTTCATCCACACTCAATGGCGGGAAGCGTTATCCACTGCGTCGATGTGGCTACGCATCGTGCTTGAAGCCTGCAGTCATCGACCGACTGAAGATATTGAGCTTGATCATCATCAAGTGTGTTGTGCAACACACCTAGCGCAAAATTGACGGCTGCACGCTGTGCAAGGGGTGAAGGTACATTCTCGCATTTCACGAATGTATTAGACGCGATGCGCACGGTGTCACACGCTGGCGGCGTAGCCGGAAGAGGTCGTAGAAACTCGACACGGCGTTACCACTCTCACAGTCGACCAAACCCTCTTTAAAAATTTCTATTAGAGTGTTGGACGATGGCTTTGACTTAGTCATTTTGAAATGTGTTGTGAGCACGATGGTCAAGGACCAGAGATTTTAGGCCTCGAAGTGCAATACAAGATTTATCGATACAAGGATGTCAACAGTTTGAGTAGCCTTATAAATTTTAATGTAACGGGGTTACACGATGTTATTGAACCGGTTATGTTGTGCGTCCACACCAAATAAAGATCGGTGGATCTGAGTGTTACACGCTTGGTACCACGTACTTGGGGTTTCACCGCACCTTAATGGGGAAGGATCAGACTTCTGTCATAGGATCGCAATGTAGAAGTCAGTCAGACAAGGTTTTAGGTATTTATTACCGTAGTTAAAGAATCAATAAAGTTATATTTATTGACCTAGTACCGTAACCTCGCAGGCTACTAGTATAGTGTAAGAGCATCTAGAATCTGAAGAAGGTATAATACCCCTTTCTTGAAATTCATGCATTCACTTCGTTAGATTTTATAGCGCAACATCATATCACAAAATTATGATACTCCATCGTACTATTGGAGCAGCGTGGTTTATACAGCCCTTTTTTAACGTACACCACAATCATTAGGGCTCGAGAAAGCGGGATCGAAGTGGCTTAAGGTTTGAAGTATATACAATATTGGCTTTCGAGCAAATAAAAATCCTTAATGTTCTAACTAATTCTGTCCGTCCACATCATGGCTTCATCACTTGTAAACGTCTCTTTCGAGAGCTCATTTATCCGGTGGAATTCAATCGTGCTCGTTACCAGCCATAGTTCCCAATCTCGAGTGCACCTATCTAGTAGGCTTCGATAGTTATCCTTACCATCGCTGTATTTTAATCTGTCGCATGACTGGTTTTGAATATATTTCTCTCGCAGCTCATATAGTACAAAAGCATATACGGAAGAATCTTTGATGTTTCGGCTTTAGTAATTGAGAAATCTAAGTAATGACTGCATCGATCGTAACGTCAACAAAAAATTATTGTTATCCATTAAGTCTAGGTCTTTTGGATGTTCCTTTAATCCGATTGGTGACACCAGATGAACCTGATAGTCCGCTTTGTGAAGGCATGGAAGTTTTAAATCAGTATTATCGACGTATTCCACTTTATTCTTGCATCAAGTAGTCTCTCAACCTTCTCGTACAAGGTATTACACGATGTTGCAATTGTAGAAGGTGTTAGATCGCTTTAGATATACAGGACGCCGTAAACTTTTGGAAGTGATGTTAATCGAACTGTTTTTAGCAAATTTACTTAATCTGTCAATCAAAATGCCTAGACCTTACCACTAATGTTCCTATCATTAAAAGTGGTCGGCTACATCAACATTTCTCCTACCATCTTGCATTTCCTCCAGTAATCCTCCTCGATTGTCGCACGCTCTCCCCATGCTTCCTTCGCCAATAGATACTGCAAGTTTAGCATCACCCATAATTCTCCCACTTTTGGCACCAGCAATACATTTGTCAGTAGATCCGCCTTCATTTTACGCGAATCCACAAATCCAAGTTTCACACTCCCCGTCCGTGCATGATCGCATATGAATTACATACGACACTCATGTGCTTGACGCTCGACATGTCGCCCTTGGACTCTGGGTGCTTCATTGCAGCCTGATTGTCCATCGGCATCGACATTTGGTTCTTCACTCGAAAACCAATTTCGCTTACTAGATGTGCGAGGCCGAAGCGAAAATAGCCTCCATCGTAGATAGTGGCACCCCGGTTTGCTTTTTGCACGCTAATTGTACAATAGCATCGTCCACAATAAGAATTACTCCTGTCACAAACTTGCGGTCCGCTTTGTCAGATTCATGGTCTAAGTCACTCCAATATGTCAATATAAAGTCCTCTTTACCGTTGCTTAAAACATTCATTTTCATCTTCATATTCTTGGTCTCCATCACGTATCTAAAGATTATATTTTCCAACTTCCAATCACTCATGATTGGTTAATGTGTGCATTGTGCACGGCAAGGATGATATCATGACACGTGCATCGAAAAATCCAAAGTAATCTATCAACGAGCGGTTGAAAAGCGAATCGTTGGCTCGTCAGCTCGCCCTGTCCAAGTTGTCAGAAAAACAGGTTCCTTATCCACTCCATTTGCCTCTTCGCCAACAGGAGAGCTCAAAACCAAGTGCTTTTAAAAAAATATGATGTTGCAGCTTTTTTCCATCGAAGCCTGTTGATCCAACGTGTTCGCAATTCGGTCACCGAAATAGACGCGCACTCTAAGAAATTCGCGAGCTTCACCCGAATCATTTATCGACAACAGTTTATCGCCTCAAAGAGCGATTCCGCCAGCTTTTGGCTGGACGTATTGACGAGTAAGTCGTCCATATATACACTGACAGTAGTTATATCGCCATCTTTGTGTCTGAAACAGAGGCACGGATCAGCGCCATATCGCGTGAATACCGCCTTCTGAGCTTAACTTGAAAAGCTCACTCCACTACCGGCCCGCCTGTTTGAGTTCGTATAGAAATATTTTCAATTTAAGCGCCAGGTTTGACTTGTTTTAGACGCCAAAATCTAATTAAATGCAACCCGCAAAGTTCATACCCTATGGAGTCGCCAAAGTATCTAGATGGTCTTCTTGATCGGCCTTTGCGTACGCGTTCGGGATATTCCCGTGTCTCGCAGGCACTTCCCAGCGCATCGCAAACACCAGAATTATCTTTGCGTTACCTAACTCCATGACGGCAGTAAATGTAATACCTTAGTCCACAACATGTATCTGCTCATTCCCACACGCAACAGTATTTCCTCAAAACGTTCAATCTTATCATCAGCATCAGTCTTGTTCTTGTATACCATTTCGTGTGTAGCACATATCTCTTGTTTGGCTTCATTACTACCCTCCATAATTCACTATATTCGATTACCTGTAGATCTTGTTTCATCGAAACATGCATTTATCCGTTTAGTCGCACTTCATGTCCTGCCCATTATTGTTTAAGTCGACCACCTGCACGCATGTTTCATTTAAATTTAGCTCTGCCTCAATTTTTTCTGTGTTTTGCGCACTTTTCGCGCAGTTGTCCTGGACATGTAATATAAGCGCTTTCATCTATTCATCCGTCCTCGAAGCTCGGGCTCATTTCCGGTAATGAGCTGTGGGGTCTCTCTCAACAAATAAATGTCAAAGTCCTCGACTGCCACATAATTTCTCACAAAAGCACACGACTTTATCGCACATTCTGCTCCTTAGTCAATGTCTCCAAACTACCAACATGCTGTGCGACTTTAGTTTTTTTTAAAGGATGGAATACCCTGTACCGTTTCATTTTATCACTTTTACAGTGATGAGCACTTGTTTTCCGCACTCACATAGCGAATTGCTCTGCACGTCTCGATGCAACGTGCATGGAGAGCTAGATACCGCAATGTCGATAAGGGTCGGTACCTTCTTCGTAAGAATCTGCAGTGGTGAATGCCTCCCCAATTTTGTCTTGCTTGGAAACCGATTAAAAATACAAGCCACATATTCTGCAGCATCTCCCCATAAACTTAACGGCAGTCCACAAGCAAATTCCATGTTCTGCATCATATTTATAATGTTGCGATGCATCTTCTCCACCTTTCCGTTGCTCGATTGATTACGCAGTTCGCTTATTGGTCAAGCAAAGCAGGATTCCCTGTACAATCAGTCCAGCGTCCTATATTCACCTTCACCATCCATTTTCCACATGACAATAGGGAAGTCGAACTGTCCATCAATGAAGACCATAAAGTGCTTGAACCCTTGGGCTGCGATGTCATTAGTCTTCGCCAAGAACACGCAACAGTAGTTCGTTTGCTGGTCGATAGAGATAAAGTAGCTAACGGTTTCTCAGCCTGTCACGGGTCGTCATCGGTCCTTCCATATCGAAGCACATGACTCTCTGAATCACGTCAACGGAAAAGTTTTTCCATTATTCTTCCACGACTGCTGACTTTTAGTCTTCTTCCCTCATCCGCAATCCAAGCAATTGATTTGTAGCTTATCGGTAAATTGGGTCCTCGGCTGTCTTGATGATTGCTTCATATACCAGGTGTACTAGCCTTCTGTAAAATTGCATGAGGGACCCTTTGTTTAAATATTGACCGATTTGTGCCTCATACTGCACCAGTACCGACATCAGCACGTTTCCTCGCATATGCGCTCTTCCACAGCGTTACACCCGCACAACCAGATCGTTGTTACATGTGTCCACGCAAATTACAGCTGACCCATTTTGCAGTGTGGCAGTCACACAATAATGGCCTCGGTACGATTATTTCCACTCTTTAGCCTATGGTCGACCATACGAGATAAAATTTCTTTCCAGGTTTTCAACGAAATACGCAACCCGTAATTGCAACTTGGTTTTTACCCCGTCACTTGTGTCGTTATTACTGCACTCCCTCGACTCTTTATGAGCAGGCACCCTACATCCGCAGCTACGCACTCGCTGACATAGCTCCCAGATTTTTCGGTATTGACATGTTTCTCACCAGATATCGGATTGACCCGCAGTCCAGGTTTCAGCGCATTTTTCCAACGCTTCAGTTGCCGATTGCCAGGGTGTAATCGACCTCATTCTTCGATATCAGCTCAGTGCTGCACTTTGGAAATGCTACTTTCAGGTGCCCTGGATTCACACACTTGTTGCACTTGCGAACAAACTGGTGACACTTGCGACAATCTGGTAGGACCTTTTGCGCATCCCGACGCTCTTTGTGTACGGTGTTTACCACATACCTTCTGATGTGCTTACCACGCAGGTCTATCTCCGTTAACTAATGCGAATGCTATTCCGCATATCGCAGATAGTCGATACGCATGATATTTAGCCGTTCCAGCATTTACATTCTCCTACCGGAGTCTTTTTAATGCACTATGCTGTCTTAAAACAGATAGTCGGCACCTCCACACGCTTTATCCAGGGCCATCAGGTACAAGAAATGCTCGGTCAAACTTCAATCCAGGCTCTTGGATGCCGTAAATATCTCTATACTCTGAGTCGGAGCGATCTTTATCGCGAAGGTGTGAAGCACACGCTAAATAAAGAGTTAGAGTTTCATTTGACTTCCCAACATCCCTCGACCAGGTGGCTGTAATAACGCACCGCCATACACGACAAACGGTGTCCGAGGCCGTCCATTTTGACGTCCTTACTACAGTGGAAAGTACTACATTGATACGCGAACACGATCTGCCTCACAGATCTATTACCCCATCATTAAACCACTTATAAGTCCTTTGCATATCTCCTCACAATTATATTCTAGTTTTCTCTCTATCGTGTAAGGGACTTGTACAAAATTTGGTACAGGTTATCTCACCTACTGTGGTGCCTGGCATACGCCAGCTGCGGTACGTAGTGCTGTGGCAGATAGTGATGTTGCGCCTAAACCCATCTCCACATTCGTCGCTGCATCATCGTATTCAAGCTGTTAGATTAAAATCAAATTACTGGAGACATCGCTGGCGAGAGAGCGCGTGATGATGTCATATCGAGGGCACAGTGATATATCGCCTGTCCTAGACCAAGAGCAGACCCAACGACACTTGTCTCGTCCTTGATCCTCTCCCTCTTATCATGTGACTCTTCAATCCGCTCCTTGCGCTTGGCAAGTCCTTTCTTCATCTCGAGAAGTTTCTCCTACTGCGTTTGCTTGGCATTGTCCTCTGCCTTGAACTTTCATCTTTGCCTGTAAAGATACTTGCTCTTTTGAGACAAGCGTGTGCTTCAGGATGTGCGTGATATTCACTAGCAGCAATGGCTTCGCGCTCTGGGTTTATAACCTCTTAGATTGCCTAAGATTTAGAGGTTGCTGTGAAAATGTGAGCCCGATGTACGATCCCGAGAAAGTATTAACGCCTTGGAGACGCTGGATCCGGAGACTTGATCATGCTAAAACTGTTTATTATGCTGATTAGGTCCCATACGATTGGAAGGTGCGCCTGATACATTCATGCTGGAACAACACACTCGACTGGCTCGCAAAATGAAGCAGGACTTAATTTATGATGACGTTTAGACAGCAGTTGTCAAAAACAATAATATCTTGTGGGTAAGGTAGCTCACAAACTAACTGACGATATTTATTGCTCTGTACTCGATGAAATATTAACGCAAGGACGCGGACGCGCGTCGTATAGAATTATGATTTGGTGTGCTGGTGTGGTTGCGCAGATTTTGGTCACGGCCTCAACCGAATCAAGCCACTTAAGGTAATTTTATACACCACGAGGGCGTGTGAAAATCGTCTAAAGCTAGGCTTACACAGTTTGTGTATGGTGTTTTGTATTCGTTGTCATAGTAAAATTTCTACCAGGTTAGCATGAAAAGTGAGTACGCAATGCTGTTTTAATCTTAAGTAGTGGGACGAAAAGTGATACTGATGAATTTGTACGTTAGCTTTTGTAAATTTTGTGAGCTTTGAAAAGGAACGAACCACTAAACAGTATATTTACTCTTATACAGAAAAGTGTAAAATTAGTCAAAGTGTCGAGAATGTTATGCTACTTCTAGATAAGAGAAATTAGAGAAGAGGTGTTGTACGTGACACTGTTAACCGGTTGCACGCTGGAAATTCAATGCTTCATATTTGATGGTGTGTACATTTGTTAAGTAGGTCCTTGTACGAACTGAAAAGGGACCGCGGACTCAGGGTCACGTTCTAATGCTTCCTTCTAAAGTGCTGGATGATTTGGTGCGCTTACAGCACAGAATGATTTATCGCCGCGAATTATTGTGCTTAAAGCTGCTCAGTCACGCGAGTTCTTCGTGTTCGACGAAATCAGACATCAGTTGCCAACCGATAGCCCTCAAAACAAGGATTAGGATAATGTAATGTTTCAGCTACGATGTCGTAATTTGCCTGTAAGATACACGTAAATTTTTATCAATTGTATCACTTCAAGTAATCAATATTGTTTACTCTTACTCTCCAAATTTGCATGTGACCCTGCTGAATCGTAATAACATAGATATAAATCCATTCAATTTGCCGAGAAATGGCTTGGCGATTGCCACGCACACGTCAGCGTAAAATTTATTTAAAGTGAAAATGTAGGGCTCTGTAGCTGCAACTATCCGCTCTCTATTCGTCAAATGAACTTCTCATGGGCATCGATCCTGTGGGCTCACATACGTCATGCTATTGTCAAAACTAATTTTAACCCTGCACTGCCGGTTCCGTGTGAAGCAGTTCTCTTTTAAAACCCTGGTTGCAGCAACTTGGAGTGAAACATATCTTCATGAGACAATTCTATTGAACTCAAAACTTACACCTAAATCAATCGCCATCTTTTCGCGTGGATCTTGATAAATCTTGCTTTTATTAAGCACTTAAATGCTTGGCGCATATTGTATTTTACAGTTCTTGTGTTTGGACGCACCAAGTAGATCTACACTAAATTGGTTATTCGTTGGTGCTGATCTTAAGAATTCTAATGTTGCAAATTTTGCATCGGTCAAGTCCTAATGAAGCAATTTACTTCTCAATTTCCGCTTCTATGTTTTTTGTCAGCCGTCGTTCATGCCCTTATTGAAGTACCGTCTCAATTGTTTAAATTTGGTTCTGATCGTCTAAATAACACCTTTATTATCCTTTGAAGATACTAAGATGCATTCTACATTCGTTTTTTTCAACGAAAGCTGCACTTCCGCGATCATAGACGACAGCGTGTCCATCAGCTCGTCACCAGTGTTTCGATTCGCACTAACTCACCGCCAGGTGCCAAAGGCCACATTTTCTCGTCTTAACATCCCCACTAGGTCATCTTCAGCCTTCTATAGGTGCGTAGTGTAACGGGGACCCTTTCTCTGGGTCCCACGAAACTTCACGTACACTAGTACGTGCGGAGGAAGCTAATCTACTCAACAAGTTAGCTGAGTAAAGGGTAAAAAGAGAACTGTACTCATTATAGTTAAGCTATCAATATAACTTTAGTCATTATCCAACTATATTAAATTACGTCGTCGTATGACGACAACCTGCTCACCACTCATTGCGCGTGTCTAGCAGCGATTGTGGTAATCTATTGTTGATATGTCTTATAGCAACCAATCCTGGAGCAGCGCATGAATATTATCCAAAAGGAGGATAATATTGCTTCGATATTATCCACCTCGGATAATATTGGTAGAATATTGTCATGCTAGAAAATCTCTATTGACACCGTTTGGAGTCAATTTCATGTAACGGGCTACCCCATAAATCACCCGTTGATTGAGTTAACAGATTGAGACAGGGTGACTACCGTTGGATCACTCTTGGAAGAGGAGCTCTTTAAGGTAGAATTCCAACTCATTTGCCAAATTCATCGCATGGTCTTAAAGTTCATGCGATGTGCTGCTGAAGCAGCAAGAAAAGCGGTTGCACGCATAAGTGCAGCCGAAGAAAGTTCTTCTCTTGCTTCAGAGCATGTAGTCCTTCGTCTGCTGTTGCGAATAAGCAATAGGTGGTGCCTATTGTAAATAGTCTACGAGGTGAGTCACCGCATGCGACAGATACACCCGCTGCGTCTGCAGCGGGTACTGCGAATCGTAATCAAGATGATTCTGAAATCGAGCTCATCTATTCTGGCGAGTCGGATGATGTATCCGACTCGAAGGCGGCATCTCACGCCTCCGGATCACCCGAAGCGGACACTGCAAGAGCCAGGTATGACTGGATCTGGGGAACTTGGCGGCATCATGCTTGAGATCTTTGGATCAGGCGATTCTTTTGACGAATCCTCGCCTCACGCGAGTCCATCCAAATAAAGACGCGTGGTGACTGTGGTATTACTGCTATGTATCACCATGACAGAAGCAACTCGAGAGATCGAACTGCCACTAGTGTCAGTGCTCGTGATGAAACCGCTCAAGAGGCCAGGGACCGCAATGGGTGCACCACGCTCCTCAAGTGGAGTCTCCTTGGATGCCGTCATCCAAAGAGTTAGATCGAGTAGACGAAATGACCACAGAACAGGATCGAAGCCCATTTTTAAAATGTAGGAGGATTTTTCCTCCTAATTCCAGCACGGAAATTAATCGTTCTGAGGAAGAGTTCTTCACCGATGCATTTTTCAAAGATTGGTGGTACAATGGCAGCCGTGTTCGAGACGGTAAAGCATTGGTGCAAGGATGGAATGCCCTCATCTATAACATCGAGTGCATTGGCCGTGAGGCCTGGCTCGGTAATCTTAATGCAGCTCGCGTCAGGTTTGCAAAGCGCAACCCATCCGGGGTGCGATACAAGTTGCACCGGCTGTCAAGAGAGGCACAATTGCCCTGTCTCTTGTGGGGTGATTCGCGTCCATATTGCCTGGACAACTCGAACCGTGCCCCTAGGGAGGCCTACCTCCCTAATGTTATCTACTGGAGGGCGCGCATCTCTTCCGAGATGGCCGAAGGGATCGACACTTTGTAATCCCCTGTACTCGCGTTCGGGGAGGTCGTTTTCCGATGGTCCGTTTTCGAACGCAGCGGGTGAATCTCGTCGTACTGCTCGACGAGACTAAGAACATCAACAATCAGCTGGGCACGAGACTCCCAGCTGTCCCACGCCGGTGGAAGCCACGCCAGCGGACGAGGTAACTCGTCCGGATGCCATTCACATCGCGGTGGTTCAAAATACGCTCCACTAGAAAGCGTTGACCACCGCTTGAGTCCACCAAAGGATGTGGTGGCGGTGGGAACATTTGATCCGGCTCAAGGGTCGGATCAGCTTGATGTTCAAGAGCTGAACCGTCTAACGGAACAGTTGCAAGATGACCTGGCTCATGAACGATCTCGGCGTTATAAGCTTGATGATCTTATATGGGATAATTACAATTCACTAACGCACGATCGTTCGGACGATCGTGCCGCTTTTACGTTCGCGCAACTCGAGAACGAACGTTCGACTCGTTCTCTTCATGACGAGCTGGTTGTAGCTCGTCTAGATATCGCTCAACTACGTGAACAGGTCGCTTCGCAAGTCGACCAGACTGGCTCGCTGAAACGGAACTACTCGAAGATGGTCTCGGCTCTCGACTGCGGAGGTGTTCTTCGCATATCGAAACGGGCTCGTACTGATAGTACGGCGGAGACGACCGACGTAAAACGTAGGGTGAGTACGCATCTTATGCGGCAGTTCAATCGTGTATGCGTTGCCCATTCGGCGCAACACACGAAATGGAACGATGTACTTGGGCAGTGCTTTACTGCTGCCCACGTTTGTTACTGCGTGTTTCGGTAGATTTACTGTAGAGAGTAAAACTAAGTTTCCTTCATTAAATGAAAGAACATTTGCTCTTCCATGTCTTTCTGCGCTTCTTTTCTTTCTGTCTAGTGCATCCGCAATAGAGTCTCGAACGAAGCAGACAACCGCTTCGCGAGTCAACAGAAATTCCTCTGCTGATTCATCCTTGTCAACAGCAGTGCGCTTCGTGTACAATGCTGAAATAACGTTGCCTTCACCAGTGAGGGTATCATCGTCCTCACTTTGGCGGTCATTGGCGATGCTTAATGTGCCAGCATCGTCGTCATCGTCATCATCGCCATCTATCCCATCGACATCGGCATCCATCACGTCGACACCATTGTCGACGGGCGATGAGCAAGAACCAGATCGGTTTTCGTTCGAGCGACTCCACCCCCCTCTTAACGAGAGTCACACTTTAAGAAGGTGGGTAAACGTGGATGGCGTAGGCCATTCACGAAGAACGGTGTATGCGTTGTCGACGCATGCACCGAGTTGTTGATGGCGAATTCAGTCACCGCCAAGAACTCACTCCATCTCGTAAACGAGTGGACATACCCTCAAAGTATCTCTTCGAGGACGAGGTTGACGCGTTCCGTCTGACCATCTGTTTCTGAATGGTCAGAAGTCGACATCGTCAAACGTGTTCTAAGTGAATAGAACACGGATTGCCAGAACTCCGCCGTAAAGCGGGGGTCCTTTTCAGACACGAGTTTACGGGGTAACCCGTGAAGTCGGAAGATAGTATCGATGAAGACACGAGCACAGCCCTGGGCTGTAATTGACTCTGGTACAGCAACAAGGTGCACCATCTTGCTGAACGGATCAACAAACTCAAGAATACCAGTATTCTTGTGAGCATCTATTGGAAACCCAAAGACGAAGTCCTTCGGTACGGACTGCCAAAACTCTGCCGGAATCGGGAGAGGCTGCAAGGGTGCGTGGGATGAAGGACTAGGCTTCACCCGCTGACAAACCTCGCAAGCGCGAATGTATTTGCTCACAAACTCATACTGCAGGGCCAGTAGAAGTCACGACTCACCGTGAGGTAAGCCTTTTCTCTACCACGATGCTCACTTGCTGGGGCATCGTGACACTCATACATGATGCGCAATCGCAAATCATTATGAGCAGGAACGACGACACGAGGTGTGTCGACGTTGACTGCTGTATAGTACAGCAGTCCATCACGAACAGAATACCGTTCAGTTGAAGAGCGGTTTGAGACGACAAGCTTTCAAAGCTTGAATGCAAGGATTGGATACGCATTCCATTAATTGCAGAAGAGACTCATCTTCTGCGTATGCTTTTCGCCCGTCGTCGAGCATATTTGACGACGGGACAGTCACTGTTAGTGTTGCAACAGTGGGATCGCCCCTACTGTTGAGCTGAGCAGTTAGGCTCGAAATAGGACCGAAGCGAAAGAGCATCAGCGACGACATGAAGTCGTCCTGGTTTACACTCGACGGAGAAGTTGTACCCCGCGAAGAAAGACAGCCATCTCGCCATTCGTTGCGAGAGGTTTGGACTGTTTACGGACGTGCGTAATGACGCATGGTCGGTACAAACGATGAAGGGCATATCCGATAAGAGATATACCCGAAACTTATCCAGTGCATGGCAAGGCGTTCCTTGTCATACAATGGATAATTTTGCTCAGCTGCTTGCAGCTGACGCGATTGATAACAGATGACGCGCTCAACGCCGTCTGAGTCGTACTGCATTAACGCGCAGCCGATTGCTAAATCGATGGCGTCACAGACCATATGAATTGGCCTATCCTGGTCTGCAATCACCAATACAGGCGATTGTACCAAGCTTTTCTTGATACCTTCAAACGATTGCTGACACCCAACACTCCATGACCACCTCTCGTTTTCTTTAGCAGATGAGAGAGATGTACGGTCATCTCGGCGTAGTTGCGCGAGTACTTGTACAAGTACGACGCCAAGCCAAGGAACTTTCGAAGTCCCTTGACGTCGACTGGCACAGGTCAGTCGATAATCGCCTTGAAATTTTCCGGGCGTACGTCGTTTCTACCCACGATGCAACCAAGAAGTGGTATTTCGTTCGCTGCAAATATACACTTCTTGAGGTTCGCGAACAACTTATGCTCTCGCATTAGTGTAAGAACGTTCCGGACGTGGATTCTATGAACCCCACGTCCGCCTTTCCATGCATAGCCCGGCTATGGAAGAAGACATCGCCGAAGGAACTCGGTGCGAAATCGCGCACCGATCGCAACAGATTCGTAACACATCTGTTAAACGTTGCCGGAGCGTTTTTTACTTAGCCCCTGTGGCATCACTAGCCACTCCCAGAACGTACTACTGGGGTTGCCCACTACTGTGTACGGGATGTCCCGTTCACGCATGAGGATCTGACAGAATCCATCCATCAGATCCATGGACGAAAGGATGATACTTTTTGCCACACCATCAATGATGACGTCCTTTCTTAAGATCGGCGTTGAAGCCGGTACCGTTGCAGCGTTCAATTTGTTGAACGCCTGCACTATCCGCCACCATCATGTGGCCTTTCGCACACAGAAGGTCGGAGAGCTGTGTGGGGATGTTGATTCCCTCACATGACCAGCCGCTAAACGATCGGCAAAGAATTTGTCGATCGCTGCGACCTGTTCACGAGGCAGTGACCACTGCTTCACGACACAGTATTTAGAACCAGGTTTCAGTTCGATTTCATGCCAAGTGCCTTTGTCCTGGGGCAGCTCGCACGGCACGGATTCAGGTAAAACACCCCTGAATTCGACCGAATACAAAGGATTTGTCTTCAAAGACTCCCAGGATTAAGACGTGTATCGCTTAGTCCGGGTCTTCTCATCGAGGACACCCTCGTCCATCGATGAGCTACTGAGAACTTCTTCGTTATCAGTAAACACTTGTGCCGACCGAATATCGGCGACGTACTCGTTCTCTGTGACATTACGCGGATCTGCTTGATCTTGTCACTACGCAGATCTCGCAAGAATCTTTTAGATTCTAGCGTTGGCAACTTGACTACCTCCGAAGCTGACTTCGGGGTCGTAACCAGATCAAGTGTATAAGCGCCTACACTTGATCCGTCATTCACCAATACATTCACTGTCTCGGTGATTTCCTGGGAATTCACATCCGCAGGTGGTTGGGGATCCACACCCTCAACACAACTCTCGGGAGCTATTGCTCTCAGGAACGCTGGAATTTTATTCTGTTACGGGTACTATCACGGTCACGTCCTCTTCGATCGACTCTCTTTCAGTCGAGCGGTATGCTCTTCGATAGATTCTCTGATGGTATATCTTGCTTCAACGTGTTGCTCATCCTGAACAACACTAATCTCTCTTCTTGGATGCACCCTTCTTGGTGTACATCCGTGTTTCAGTCCACTCGATTTCTTCGAGTGGTGAACCTTCAGCGCAGCCTGTGTCTCTACACAGGTGCCGGAATCTGGTTCCAAAGTGTAGTGGCCTTCTACACTGCGACCTTGTGCAGTCGTACTAACGAACGTCTCATAAGTGAGGCCATCGCGCTCACTCGTAGTGCATACACACGCTTGTGGACGCTCCAAGACGTTCATCAGATGGCCACCTGATGAACAAACGGCAGGCATCTTCACGGATCAATGCTGCCAGCTAACCCATGGCTGGTATTTCTAAGCCATGGCAGACCGAGGATGACAATAAATTTGTCATCCGAATCTAGTACGATGAAGTAATTATCGTACTTCTTTCCTTCTAGCGTGTAGTGGAGTCCCACTACACGTTTGTTCACTGTTACATATGCCACCGTTGCAAGTCACATCATCATCCTCGTTGGAGGGAACTCTCGCTCAACATAGTTGAGCCTACTATCCCCTAGCGGCTGGCGTTGAAGAAAACTGTTCGAAACCCAACAGTCAACTAGGGCGCGAAGTGACATTCCACTTGTCACTTTGATCTTCAAAGTGATGAGAGACTCCTCATCACTAGGGGAAGTAACACACAGCGACTGTGTGTTGGGAGAAACCTTCGTCAAGAGCCCTGCAAATTCTCTTGACGTTGCTGGATCAGCAGGGTGCTCCGCCCTTACTGACCCTGAACGTTTTTTGACGGTCCGACTTGCTGTCGCGGCTTAGCGACATGGTCAGACCCACACCTCGGACCTTTCCTAGGCCAACGGAGGTCAAAACGTCCTGTCTTTGAACGTGATGCGGTGTTTGGAACACTACGCTCATGAGCGTAGTGTCCAATCTTCTGTTCGCTTCTTGCCGTTCGCTTGTGACTCAGAAAGCGAGAGTTCTCGCTCTCGATGTAACAGAGGTCCATTGGTTCGGGACCTCTTGTTTCCTGCCGTCTCGCCGGACGATGGTTTGACGATTTGGCTTAGACTGGCTCAGGATGAAGTCTTCTTGTTCCGCATACGCTATCGCCTTCCAGAGTATGGAAGTCCTCTCGGAACATGTAGGTCTTCACCGGCCCATCCACAAGGCCATAGATGAACACGTTGATGAGCGTGTGCTCATCAACAGGGTTCTCCGTAACAATACTTGCAAGGTAGCGCAGGTGCTGTGCGCAAGCGTGCACGTCACGCTTACCTTGCTTGAGCCTCAAGAGTGCAGAGCGTGCTCTGAACTCGGCTCTCGGCGGCTCAAATGTCTCTTTAAGCCGAGACTTCAAGATCTTTAACGACTCAAACACGTTTGGGTCGTGAAGCTTGAGCCCTTAGGCCTAAGTCTTTGCTCGTCCCGTCAAATTTGACAGGGCGAAGGCGACTTGCATCTCGTCACCCTCGATGTGACGGGCCCTGATGGCATTGTCTAACTTGACAAACCATCTCAAAAGGGAATCTACATCGGTTCCCATGTACCTTGAGATATCAATCTTCACGGTTAGGGTCGACGCATGTGCGTCGGCCCGCCCATCGACTGATGAGGGACTTGCTGTTGAAGCAAGGCTTTCTTCTGTCTTTTGACGGCAAGTTCCCCTTGTAGGAACTTGTTGACAGCGGCATGTTGCAGGTCTCTGGTTTGAGACTCCAACATACCACTGATGGCGGGTTCGCTCATGAGCACACTCATGCGGCCGACTACCTCCCACTCTGAGTCACTCAGATGGGAGTAGCCTTCACATGTGACGTGAAAGCTGTCGTCTCCTACGCTTAACATGTTCATGTTGGGCGGACTACTAAGTGCTACCAGGTGTAACGGGGCACCCTTTGTTTGGGGTGCCGCGAAACTTCACGTACACTAGTACGTGCAGAGGAAGCTAATCTACTTGAACGACTCGTTAAGTAAAGGGTAAAAATAGAACTGTATTTAATATAGCTAAGCTATCAATATAGCTTTAATTTTTATCCAACTATATTAAACTACGTCGTCGTATGACGACAACCTGCTCACCACTCATTGCGCGCGTCTAGCAGCGATTAGTGGCAATCTATTGTTGATATGTCTTATATCAACCAATCTTGGAGCAGCGCATGGATGTTATCTAAAGGGGATTAATATTCGTTCAGTATTATCCACCTCAGATAATAATGGTAGGATTTTGTCATGCTAGACAATCTCTATTGACACCGTTTGGAGTCAATTTCATGTAACGGGCTACCCCATTACACAGCAGGTTCTAATCTGCCTCTTCTCTCAGTAAACTGTACTCATAAGTATCAAAAGTAAACTCTGCTCAAAAGTAGCGCAGCACGCAAGAGGTGCACACAATGCGTCCTTTTTCTCCCCTCTTTCCTCTCTCTCCCCGCTCTCTCTCCCGCAAGCACGTCCAACGTCGACTCTTCCGCTCGTCACATCGACGTCATTTCCATCCAATCAAAAGTGACTACTCACAATGTCCCGTCTGTCTGTCAGTGTGTCAAGTCGTGCATAACACGGACGCGTCAAAGCCTTACCCTAGAGCCAGAGCACTCGTTACAGTCCCTCCACATTCCGCCATCCCCTCGGTCTAGACGCGACTCTAACCGTCGCGATGCTCCCAAGCGCTTCCGTGACGCTGGCGCTTCTTCTGCTGCTGCTAGTACCGACTGCGATGGACGCTGCCACTTGCGACACGAGAGGGAACGTCGTGCTCGTTGCTGGCAAGAACGAGAGCAAAGCGGTTGTGATTAGCGATGATTGTACCGAGACAGACGTTATCGTGGATAAAGGCACGTTAGCGGCCAGTAACATGGGCATTGAAAAAGTGTTAAGTGCGCCGGACGTTAAGCACATGTGCGTATGGATGACTTGCTTGCAGTATCTTTCTTGCTCTGTTCTACTTTATTTTGACCCCTCTCTCTCTCTCTTTATCGTAGATAGAGGGAGAGTAGGCTATTTGTTTGTTCCCTTCTGACCCTGTGTAAATGTGTGTGCTATTGGTTCCTGCAGTGACTTGTCGCTCAATAACATCTCGACGCTGTCGCTAAAGGAGTTGAAAAACGTCGAGAAACTGTACGGATGCCGCATCTCTGGAAAACCCGTGGAAGTTGCTGTGTCGACTGACACTTCTCTCTCTATCTCTTTTTTGTGTTTCTGCAGGACGTTGACATCCAATAAGTTCGTCACGTTTCTCCACTTGAAAGTGCCTGTGTCGCTCACGACGTTGGACTTGAGCTGGAACAGCATTGCGTCATTTGACGGCATGAGTTTGCCAGATACAATGACGCAGCTATTTCTAGGCGGCAATCCCATTACGTCCGTGGCAGGAGTGACATTCCCGTCGTCACTTACGCTCCTGTATATCCACAACTTGCAGCTGACGGACCTCAAAGGCGCGACGTTTCCCGATAGTGTCCAGTATTTATCGCTCGTGCAGTCCTGTCTTTCTGATTTTGACGGCGTCAGCTTTCCAGACAACTTGCAGTACATGTACGTTGAGCTTCGGATATTGCCAGTGGATGGACGTCGCGCTGACAGTGTGTAATATTGGTGGATTCTAGTGACTTTTCTACTAACGCTGTCACGACGCTGCCAACCGGATTACCTTCTACTGTAAGGCAGATCACGGCAACAGACAACCAAATCACGACGCTGTCTTTGTACTCGTTCCCGTCCAGCATCTCGTCGCTCAACTTTTCGGGCAATCCCATCGAGTCGATCAGTGGCGTCTCGTTTCCGCTCGCTCTGACGAAGCTGGATCTTGGGGCCCACAAGATTACGAAATTTGAAATTTCGCGCTCGGACTACGCCACGTTTAAAGATCTGGAGGTTTTTACTGCAGTGGTCTCACAGACCAGCTGCTCCACGCAGGGTGCTGAACTGGTCGCTGTTTCCGGCTATAGTATCTGTGTCATCTCGGATGAATTGTTTGAGAAAACTTACGGCACCGCGTCTTCGAAATCAGAGAGCACGGTGACTGCACCGATTGCTGGTAATGGCGGTGACTCTACCATCCTCGTCGTTGTGATATGTCTGTCCACCGTGCTTGCTGTGGCGCTCGCGGCATTTGCATTCCGGACGTACAAAACGCGTCAGCCGAAGGGTGTTTCTCATCGAAGCAGGGACGGGAATTTCTTTGTAAATGACACGGAGATTGACACCGGGAAGCACTCGGAAGGAAATGTCTACAGCGATCCGCGGAATAATGCTGACGGGTTTAACACGATTTTCACTGGTGGCAAAGTCACTATGATGGGCGGAACGTCGATTGAGTCGGCTCTCGTTAAGTACCGCGTCCCCGTGAGCGAGGTGCATATCGAACGATCCATTGCAAAGGGCGGTTTTGGCATCGTCTTCCTGGCAAAGTATCAAGGCCGCCCAGTGGTTGTCAAGAAAATCTTACCAGAGAAGGCAGCAGATGACCGATGTCTAAGCGCCTTTATCGAGGAGATTAAGCTCATATCGTCACTCTCTCATGCAAAAATCGTGTGCTTTATTGGTGTCAGCTGGAGCATGTTGTCCGATATGGCTGTCTTGATGGATTACATGCCGAACGGAGATCTTGATATGCTCCTGAAGCAACAGCACGATCGACAAGAATTGTACCCGCAGGAATTTGACTGGTATCAGAACTCGTCCATTCTGCCGGCAAAGGCTGCTATTGCTCTGGATGTGTTGGAGGCTATCGTGTATCTCCACTCATTTCCGTCACCTATCATTCACCGCGATCTGAAGTCGAAGAATGTGCTGCTGAGCTCGTCTTACGAAGCCAAGTTAAGTGACTTTGGTGTCAGTCGCGAGTGGCAAGTGGATAGTACGATGACTGCAGGCATCGGTACGATGGCTTGGATTGCACCTGAGGTGCTACGTGGCGAGCGGTACACTGAGACGGCTGATATCTACTCTTTCGGCGTAATCCTATCTGAACTGGCCACGTGCATCAGGCCATTTAACGGTGTGACCAACGCGCTCATCGTCCTTAAAGTCACAAGTGAAGAGACGCCGGACTTGGGCTCGAATTGCCCGGAGGACATTCGAGAACTAGCAAAACGCTGTCTTAGCTTTGACGCGAGCGATCGTCCAAGTGCTAGTGTGGCTCACTACGAGCTGCGAACGCTGCTGAAGCTTCACTCGGCGTTCGAGCTCTAGGTTGATACCCTAAATATCCTACTTTATGAAGTGCAAGTTCCAGGGTGAGAGCTTTGTTGTGCAATGGAGCGATTCGTTGGCATTGTAAAGTTGGGAACGAGCATCGGGTGGCAACTCGCTGCATTGAAGCTTTGTTGCCGTTCATGTCACGTCTCTAGGTAGTGTCATGAGTACCAAAAATGGCTTGAACGTTTATTTTACATCTTGGTGCCCGATGTTACAACGAACGTGTCTCTATTTGGCAAATGGGGATCAAACATACACACACGCACAAGAGAGGATGTAATGCGGTAAGTAATATAAATTACGTGTCGGAGATAAAATAGCGACGCCGGGTCCGTATACGTATACAAGAAGATGTTGGACTCGTTTCTAAACCAATAAATCGGCCTAGAATTACTCAGTTAATTGTAACAGCGAGGTCACATTCGCTCCCTTTGACAAAACGTGCTGCACAGCTTGTTTTAGCTAGCTCCCTGGCAGCAGTGATTAGGGTAGCGCGAGGTCGCACGTCGTCGCATCGTGATAAGTCGCTATCAAAACCTTGCTATGCACCGGACATGGTGCTACGCTGTCGTTCTATAGCTGATTGCAGCTTTCTCATTGGATGCTCGATACGCGCTCGACATCCAAACGACCGCCATCGTGCCCACGCGTGTGCGGTAGTGCTCTGTTGAAGTGTGCAAAGACCGCCTCCTATGGCTCTACCAGTCGCTCTTGCCGCCCCTTCGGAACTGCTTTGCTGGCGCTTTTACACACACACACGCACACACGCCATCTTTCGCTATTCACTATCGATTTCGCTTCGATCTGCTCAAGTCCCTCATCGACTTACACCGTCCTCTTTGTCTATATCTAACTGCGATCACGTCATGGGCTGCGCACAATCCAAGACCGACGACGTGACGACCTCGACTGAGCCGGAGGCTGAGTCTGTAGCCGATGTGAATGAGACGGAGCCCGTTCCGGTCGAGCAGCCGGAGGAACAAGAGATGGCAGCGGACAAATCCGACGAGCCAGAGGCCGAGGCGGTCTCGCGCGAAGACCCCACCGAGGAGCTGTTCAAGATCAAGGGCCACGAGATCGACGAGACGGGCGTCGTGTTCTACATTGTTGAAGCCATCGATGGCGACATGAGCTTCGTCAAGCGCTTCAGCGAGTTCAAGGCGTTGGTGGTGGAGTTGGGCAGTCCCAAGCTTCTACCAGCTCTTCCTGGCTCTGGACTGGGTGCCAAGCTGCGCAGCAAGCACGATCCGTCCATGATCCAGGAACGCGAGACGCAGCTGGCCATCGTGCTCAATGCAATCGCCAAAGATGCAGAGCTGGCCGAAACGGAAGCGTTCAAGAACTTTGTGCAGTAGAGGGATCAACCCTCCTCCTTGGTCTAGTCATGTGGGGAAGCTTTGCGCGTACAAGATCCAGCTTTGATTTGTATCCCAATTGATGTTCTTGTTGAGCACCGTACTGAACTTCCTGTCGTCACGACGAGACGCGTTGACGACCGAATAAATCCAAATTCGAGCATAGTGATAAAAGGTTTAATCGTATCGACGTGCAACACCACGACGTATCATACACACTAGAAAGAGACTAGCACTGCCCTAGATTGTCGTCACTTTCCACCACCGAACTACTGTCAAGTGCTCGTTGTGACTCCTCCTGCGCCTTGTACTCGTCCGATAGCTTCCATTCGCGCCGACGCACAAACCCGTGATGCGGACGCGCCTTCTTAGCTTTCTTCTTCTTGCTCTTCACACGAGACGTTAGGAACGAAGCGGTGCTGCTCCGCCTACTGACATCACTCACAGCTTCGTCCTCATTCTCCTCTTCGCCGTCTTCGTTCGGTGGGATCGACGGAAAGAAAGCAAAGTCTTTCTCGTACACCCATCCATCAGCATCGCATCCAGCTACGTCCATATTTAGCTCCAGACCGGCCATAGGAAGAGCTTGGGCACTTATCTTGCCCGAACGATCACTCCAGCGCTTGCGATCCGTAGGCAACAAGTAACCTGGGAAAGAGCTACCGTACCCGCAGAACGGCTGGTAGCGCTGATTCTCGAACAACACTGGGTCGTCCGAATTCAAAATTGCGTTGCGTACGTCAGCGTTGATCTTCTTCCGACAGAGCTGGCCACCGTTGTTAGTTGTTCCGGACAAGATCCAATTGAAAATGTTGGCCGGTTTATCAAAAGCAAATCCTGTGTACAGCTCTGAGCGACGCGGCGCTGTGAGCCCAATCGATGTACTCTCATGTACGCGACGGTCCTGGTAGTCGATCATTCCTGCCAGCTCTGGGTTTAGGTAATTGACTAGAGGAGGCTTAAATTCCGCCAGTTCTTCGCAAGAAATCGAGGACGTATCGTGTTGTGTCTCTTTTACTAGATCCATGTACTCGGGAAAGAATCGACGACGGAAGCCTTCGTAGAAGAAATCTTTCAGCAAAATTGCCACCACGGCAAACGCTTGACCAAGCCAGAACTGAGGGCGACCGAATTGCCATGGCAACGAATCCGTGTCGTAAATCCAGTCAATCTGGTCGATGGCGTATTGGGACACATAAATTGTCAAGACCGTAAGAACCATGCTTCCGATCTCGAGGATGTCCCACGAGTTAACAATCAAGCAGAAACGCGCGTTCACGACAATACACAAGATGGTCCAGCCGAGGGTCTGCAGCGACAGAAACTCGATCGTGTTGCCTCCACGTTCAATGTTCCAGCCGGCAGCTAAAATTGCGTAGTATATTCCCACGGAATCGACAATGCCCAGTGCAATCCACTTCCAGAACATGATGTGCGAAAAAAAACTCCTTCGACGCGCCTCGGCATGATAGAGTGCCGGGAACTTCAAAACAGTTTTCTTCGGCAAATCCTTGTCGTATACCGAAAATATGACAATTGGAAGGGCCGTGAACACGAGGTTGAAGCCTTGCTGGATTAAGGCTGAATAAAGCATTGTGCCCGAGTACGCAGTTGGCCATAACGTGTGCCAAAACATGGACACGTTGTACGCAATATTCTTGTAAAAGGTGTACACGACGAGAGCTGCAATGCGATTGTAATTCCACCGGCCATGTACCAGGATCAAGTTGCTCAAAAACTTAAATTGAGCGAGCGAATAGTCAGAGCTATTCACAGCTTGTAAACCTTCTTGCCCGCTGATGCCAATACCAATGTGAGCACTCTGAATCATTGGAACGTCATTAGCGCCGTCACCAATCGAAAGCGTGTGCGATTCCGGAACATTGAGCTTCACCAACTCGACCAGCTGCGCTTTTTGCTGAGGTGAGACTCGACAAGCGACCACAACCCTGCACAATAGCGACACACGCAGCAAATGCAAGTTGTATAACGGGTCTTCCAATATCTTGTTCAATGACGCCCCGTCAATAACTAACGCATGCTCTTCATTGGCGGGTGGCAGTGATAAGGCCGAAAAGGCACCCACGGTCGGCGCATGCGACTCATTATCATTCATGTCATTGATCGAGTGGAAAACCTTGTCGAGTTTCCGTAAAATCGAGCCCTTCGTCCGATACTTTGCCGCATTAATTACGTGACGCTTCATATCGTTATTAAGCAGTCGGCAAGCATAACCAATGTTGATAGCCGTCTCCTCCATGTCCCCCGTAAGCACCCAAATACAAATTCCAGCTTTGGCTAAGGATTCCATCGTTGCAGGTACATCATCCTGCAAACGATCCTCAATAGCAGTAGCACCGAGTAACTCCAGGTTCGACTCCATTTGATCCTGAAGTTTATCAATACCGTTCGGCTCGCCAAGCGACTTCGCCTGAACTTCATTCAGATCAGCTGACAAGTGACGATACTTTGCATAGAACTGTTCCCACACTTGAGGCTTTATACGTTTCGCACACACAACTAGCGTTCGAAGTCCATCTTGCGCGAAAGCTGCCAGATGCTTCTCTGTGGCAGCACATACATCTCGATTGTTCACGGACATCGGATCCAGGCGAGGAAACAACATACTATCGGCTCCTTTGGTAAGAATCAGCACGTCTTCCTCTTCGCAGTCCGATATCAGACGGAGCTCGTCGTCACGTTTTCGACGCTGCACAACAACCGACATTCGTTTTCGGTTCGAGTCAAACTCAAAAACTTCCAGTATATCGTACTGATCGACAGTGCCATCAAATTTCTTAACAGACACACTTCCCGATTCGCGGTCGATGAACTCGTAGCCAAAGTGCTTTGCGCCGCAAACAAGAGCGAGTTCGTCCGGAGAGGAAGCTGAGTAGCCAATCGAAGGACTTACATCCTCTTCACAAGGATCAAGGCGCTCAATCAAAACACCATGGCATAGTGCTAAAAGGGTCATAAACTCTTCAATCTTCCCGCTTTGAGGGTCACCTTTGGCCTGCATATCCTGCCATATCGTCTTGTCATTAAACTTCACATTCAGCGTTGGAGCTGCCGCGCGTGCGTCAAAAGGTAAGACGTCCTTCTCATCGGCAGGATCTTCGTCCTGAAGTTGCTCTCCTTTGTAATCGTTTCGCATGCGAGCAGCGACACCGATGGCTGTCGTTCCCTTGCCGTAGCTCCGACCTCCTATGCTACACTTACGAAATTCCATTTTGTTACATGTAAGCGTGCCTGTCTTGTCGGAAAAGATGTGCGAAATCTGACCAAGCTGCTCGTTGAGCTGCATGTTGCGAACTTTGACAGGAGTACCGCTCGCTTCGTCATACATGTCAAGATCGCGTTCCATGAAGTAGCCTTGCAAAGCCTTGACGAGTGTGATGGAAACATACAACGTAATTGGCACCATAGAGGCGAGTGTCGTGAAGAAGTATACAAACGTGACGACAAAGTTGTCATCCCAGCCATCCTGCTCCAAATAAGGTGGTGTAATCAAGCCATTCATCCAGATTCGGTCCCCAGCAGCACCAACGAGCGACATCAGCACCAAAATCACGACTACGACAATCACTTGCTTATTGGTCATCTCGTCGATTGACGAAACTTTCACCGAAAACTCGTCACCAGAGCTCATCATGATTTTAGTATCGATGCCAGTATTCACCACAAGACCATAGACGTAGCTAGTGTTGCGCAGTTTGCTGCCACGAAGCAGCATGTTTTTCAACGTGAGAGGAACCCCTCCAGAGTTGGCCCCAGTCGGACTCTCTTCGAGATGTATTGTGCCCGAGTACGTGTTTATATCAGCGTTTGGAAGTTCGCTCTCCACATAGCCTTGGACAATGTATCCAGCTTCTTCTTCGCTCTGGAAACTATTCCGTGTCGGTGCTGGAGCTTCCCGTAGTTTGAGATTCGTCTCGCCGTCCAGATTCTTCGTTTCAACGTAACACAGACCTGTATTGCCATTCGAACGCGCTCCTTCCGCGGGAATCACAGCCATGATCATAATATCAGCTGGTAAGATCTCCCGATTCCCGACCTTGACAAAGTCGCCCACTTTTAGCTCACGCCACTCAACCTCTTCAAACTCGCGCAGTTGACGATTGTACACCCGCGTCTTGGCCGAATTGGCCAAGTCGTCGGCCACGTGTCGCTTATAATCTTCATACCCAGCAAAGATACCGTCAATGACGGTCACAATAGCCAAGGGGATAAACTGCAGTGGGACGCCATCAGTTGGCGACACGGACGGGATCATCTGGAAAATCCCAATAAGCAGGAAATAAAGATTTGCCGTCTTTTGAAACGTCAAGTACAGAAACACGGGCACGAAGCTCCACCACGTGTACTGCGACGTCTTGACTTCATTCGACACAAAAAACTCCTCCTCCTCCACCTCCTCGTCTCCTGCTGCGGTCGTCGCATTGCCATCTCCACCGCTGTCGTCCCCGTCGTGTCTTGTAGACACCCGGGGCACGCGCTTGGGTACGTTGTTGCCATCGTTGATCTTAACGATCTTAAACTGCTTCCCGCCGTCACGTCCAGCCGTCACCGTCTGCTGCGAGTCCGTGGACATTAAACTGCTCATTCGATCCAGCACGTGCTTTCGACTACCGCCGCCATTGGCTTTTGTCACTCCCCCGCGTCTCGATCCCGTCGTCCCGTCCGTCGGCTCCGTCTCCACGTCTCCCGCCCGCGCGCTCATCAGCAGCATCTCGCGCTCAAAGTCCGTCATCTCACGCGCACTCGCAGGTGCCGCGTCCTCGTCGTCGAAACTGTCCCGACCTGACGTGTGCCACGCGTTGCGCACGTGCTCCTCGTGTCTGCGCGCCCGCACGCGCGACCGCAGCGACGCCGCGTTCGCTGGATCAATGTACCGCGTGGTCGACCGTGTGTTCTGGCGGAACCGCAGCGACCGCGGCAAGTTGCGGTAAAACAACCGCCAGCTCGCGGGTGCAGCAGCAGCATTCGCACTGGAGCCAAGGCCCTGGGGACGCCCGTGCGCCTCAACGATGTCGTTGTCGTGGAGCAGCCGCGGCCGCCCCGCGAGCGGCTGCTGCGACGTGAACGTGCGGAAGAGGTCGTGGTTGTGCCGCTCTTTTGGTACAGCCCACGACGGGTCGCGCGGCAAGACGTCGACCGTCTGATTGCGGTGGAAGAATTTCGAAGGATTGCTGTCCGCACTGGCGGGAACGGGTGCGCGCACTGGGGGCAACGGCTCGACGCGCGCGGTGACAGCGGCGGGGCGGACGGCGACGGCAGACGGTGGTACGCGGTCAGGTCGGACGCGTCTTCGTTGTTGCTGCTGCTGCTGCTGCTGGTGCTGCTGGCATCGCCGACGCCGCGACTTGCGCGCTCCATGGGCGTGACTAGCAAGAGGAGAAACGACGGGCGTGCGCGCAATTTGGAACAAGAGCGACTGCGGCCGAGGGATAGAGTCAGTCAGTTCAAGTCGGAGGAGGGCGGACAGAAACGGGACTGGAGGCGAATGATTACGGCGATTACGGCGATTGCGTACGGCAGACGCAAGCTGAAATGGTGCAGTCGTTTCGAGACGAGCACAGATCGACCCAATAGGGTGACGTCACGTTGATGGATACAGAGCGGATCGAGGCGCGACATGTCGCATGCTGTTTCAGCTGACCGCCAGTCGGGAGAGAAAGGACAGCTGCTGCTGGTGCTGCACAGAGAGTCGCGTGGCGATTGAAGAGCCCCCCAGCCCCTTTTTTGTCTCTCTTGCTCGGCAACTGCGTGGCTTGCGTTCGACAAAGGACGGAAGGATCGTCGTGCTGTCGTAGTCGGACTGTCGACAGCGGCAGCTGCCACTCGTGGACATCCATCGAAGCGTGTCATTTGTATGTTTCTTGAACCTTGCTCGAGACGAACGAGGTAGTTTCGGCGAACTTGATGGCTCATTTCTTGGTGCCAAAGGACAAACTTGATCATGTGATTCAATAAGTAGACGCGAACGATCGAGTAAAGGGCTCATTCTCACGTACGTGCTGCAGCAGTTAATTTTGAAGCAGACGGTCGAGACGATCGACTCTAGAAATTTGCATCTCTACCTACAATGCAGGGTTCAGGATCGTCTATTTGTAAGCTAATGCGTGTAAAGAACGACGTCTGAAAAGGGTCCTTAGCCAGACTATCAGCATCAGTAGGGGCGACTTGTCGTGGCTGATTCCCGCAAACACGTATTGCCCCTGTGGGTCTTGCGTATAAGAAAGACATGCGTGAAGCCGGGTTCTATGGACTACAGTCGCTGTCCATATCGCACTTCCATTAGTGCAATATCATAAACGCCAGGTTTGTGGTCTGCCAGTCAATCGGATTTTTCGTCAACGCCCGTTTCTGGGCAGTTTTAAGGTAACGATGTTGCAAGCTCGTAGTCTATAAACTCACAGAGAAAAGGAACATAAGAGCAAGGGGGAAACGGATCGGGAGATTTTGCTTCGACACCATCAATGTTTACCCAGCCAGTCGTTCGAGCTTATAGGAAGCAACCTAAAAGGTGAGCTGAAGGCTCTTTTATTTCGAAGCCAAAACAGCTGCTTCTGGTACGAATCTGTCGACCACTCGAAGCATTTCCGCGACGTCAGCACAACACTGGAGCGTCTATCGTCGACACACATCCACGGCGGAAAGACTCCCAATGTCTGACTTGGGCACAGAAAACCGGAACGTCTTCGAAATCACTCTGTATGAGATATAAGCGAGTTGCTGCCGAGCCTTATTATACTCCAGCTGATTAAGTTTAGCTTTGACTTGGTCACGAACAATGAAATTGTGTAGTTGGTACGACAAAGATATCCTTCGTTCTTGGCGGTAGAACTTACACAGTGGTTGTCTTCAGCCACAACAAGTGGCACTGTATTTAGGTCGTCATCTACTACTTTTAGCCTCGGTGAATACATTTCCTATGAGTTAGCAGAGGATATTAACTACCTGAGTATGGCGTCGACATGCATTGGGAATTATACCAATTAGATTAGATCAAATTACATAAAATTGCACAAAATTACACACAATAATAAAACAAAAGTAAAAGAAAATCAGTATTTACCAGATTCAATCAAGTAAATTCAATGATCAAAGGATAAAAATGTCGAGGCAATATTCCAGAAGGTGACGCGCTTTGAAAGTTTGACCAGAATGAGACACGGTATGTTTATTACATTTGTGCGAGAATCGTGCAGTATGAAATACAAGTTGTTTAAGATGTTGAAATCGGAGTTCGTCATCATTTATGCTTTTTAATGTTTACTGGTCTCTTTGTGCAGCAGCGAAGGTGAAGCCAAGACGCCATCGTATCGTTACGTGACAGAAGACGGCGTTGCACAAAGTTTAGCTTATCGATATAGCGGCAGCAATGCGTCGCTATTGTACAGCCGCGTGATGTCTCCATTGGACCAGTGGCGTGAGAACCAAGTGCTGTCACCACGACTGTCACCTAACACTATTACAATCGGAGCGCTGCGGCTCATGGTTCACTTGATTATACAATAATGAAATTATTAGAGATATCGTCACTTATTCAATGGGTATAAAGTTGACTATACATTTGTATGACTATTTTTCTGATGGTTGCAATACAAAAATTCACCAAATATGGAAGAAGAGAGACCGCGATGGGTGCAAGCCACTGCGGGTCACTGCTTTTGTACCAAGTATCAGATGCTTTAGACGGCTAAAAGGCTCAGAAAACTGGTAACTCGTCGCCGCTTGGCCTCTTGTTCGATCACGTTTGTGATGCAATGAATGTGGCGATTAGTGCGTGAACGTTTGCGTCCACGATAAGGCTCAAAGGGGCGTATTGGGTATGAGTGTTTTGGTGAAGGTGTGGAGGCAGCTTATTTGATTGACTCTGCTTTTACTTTCAGTGTGCCTGTTCTCGTTGTTGTCGTTGTTGTGGCTGGTGGTGGTTGAGCTAGTCTCTGCTGCTATTTCTTGCACCAACCATGATGTTCTTTATGGCGACGTGAGAGGAGTGCTATACCGGTACACTGGCGCTTCTAGTGATCAATGGACCCAACAAAGGCTTGATGATTATGTACTTAATCTACCTAGCCACGTCGATCGTTAAATCGACGGCGGGGACGCAGCCAAGCATTAGCTTAACGCAGCTAATTAACAATCACGTCTTCATCTTGTTCATAATCACCTGTAAAACCGTGCAGTGCTTTTTAAGAGGCACGATGATTGTCTCTCGTGTGAACGCGACTACGATTACACAGCATAGATCAAACACGTTCAATGTCAACAAGCTTCATACATTACACAGTGCGATTTGTATGTATGTAAACGCGTTACGCGAGCCGTCTTACTACAAATGCGTTTCATCTTTCGCATGGTCGGGGTATCTCTCTGTTTCTACAATACTCTCTCTCTCGGTCGATTCAGCAACCGATGGGATATCAGTTGCTGTAGGTTTTGCTTCGGCGTCGCACAGAGACGTGCAGACGCGTTCTCGGCGGCCTTGCTCGCGCATCGCATGGGCTTGTTTACCATGCGATGAGATGTTGAAAGTGGACGCGGACCAGCAAAAGCAAACCCTCCCCAAATGATTTGGGGACGAGTATCCCCAATTAGTCAATCAGTCACTAAAGTGACTGTGGTTAAGGGGTGATGTAACGGGGTGAATCGTTACATAACAATTTATAAGAAATTGTTAATAGAATATAACTATAAGAGTTATATTCTCAGAATCAATCATCAAGGACAATATTCTGTAGCACTTCCAGTAGTTCCTAATTGGTTGATATAGGCCATTATATCAACCAACGGAAGTTACTGACGGACAGACGCAATGAAGTGGTGAGCAGATAACTGATTTACACATTTGTATTTAGACATAGTTAGATGAAGATAAATAGTGATTTATTGCAGACATTAACTATTATAAATACAGTTCTACTTTTTACTCTAACCAAGTACTCGCTTCTTCTTACCGTCTTCCTCTGCACGTACGAGTGTACGTGAAGTTACGAGGCACCGCCTTATTCTGTTATCAGAATAAGTAGCTTGTACTGTCACCAGTACAAGCTTCAGGGTGCCCCGTTACAATGGACGTGCTCATCTGGGTGACCACGTGTCTAAAACGGGAAGGGCTTCAGAATTACTCAGGATAGCAATGTTAAAGCTCTGACAAATGACGTCGGCGTCGTAGGCGTACACGATCATGTTAGCGAGAAGTTCGTGAAGAACTTCGAGTCGGCCGGCTAGATCTCGTAACTCTGGTTTGAGGTGAACAACAAAATGAACGGGATAAAGTGAGTCACCTTGGTGAGTACCTTTTTTAATCTCGAACAGGAATAACAGGCGATTGCCGAGTCGAAGGGAAAGCATTATGTCTCTTATAATCATGGCCGAATCAGCCTAAATTTGTCGTCATCGGGAAGTGACTTGAGCACGGAGAGAAGTCTGTCGCGGTTTGTAGTGTCAGAAGCACGAGAGAGTTTGATCGCAAGAATATTAAAGCATTCCTTGTATTTATGAGCGCGTACTGCTATCCACCTGTGAGCCCACACTGCATCGGCAGTGCTGCAATAGGGTCTAAAAATCTTTTCGTGCGGGGATAAATATTGTCTGACTTTAGGGGAGATGCAGTGTAGCTGTAACGGGGCACCCTGAAGCTTGTACTGATGACAGTACAAGCTACTTATTCTGATGACAGAATAAGGCGGTGCCTCGTGACTTCACATACACTCGTACGTGCAGAGGAAGACGGTAAGAAGAAGCGAGTACTTGGTTAAAGTAAAAAGTAGAACTGTATTTATAATAGTTAATGTCTGCAATAAATCACTATTTATCTTCATCTAACTATGTCTAAATACAAATGTGTAAATCAGTTATCTGCTCACCACTCATTGCGTGCGTCTGTCGTGGCGCGTCTTCGTTGGTTGATATAATGGCCTATATCAACCAATTAGGAACTACTCGTAAGTGCTACAGAATATTTGTCCTTATGACAATATTCTGAGAATATAACTCTTATAGTTATATTCTATTAACAATTTCTTATAAATTGTTATGTAACGATTCACCCCGTTACATCACCCCCCCTAACCATTAGTCACTTTAGTGACTGATTGACTAAATGGATACTCGTCCCAAATCATTTGGGACGGGGTTTGCACTTGTTGGTCCGAGTCCACTTTCCAACAGTTCATCGCATGGTTAACAAGCCCATGCGATGCGCGAGCAAGGCCGCCGAGAGCGCGTCCGCACGTCTTTGTGCGGACGCCGAAGCAGAAACCGCAGCAACTGATGTCTCATCGGTTGCTGAAGCGACTCAGCCTGTGTCACCTGGTGATGCAGGCGCTCGTCATGAAGACACTCATGTCTTCACAGAGTACGAGCTCGGTGTCTCGTACTCTCCTGATACGGATGACGGATCCGTATCGACGGCGATTGAATCTAAGCCGCCTGCCAAGCGTGGCATGGACGATGCTATGCGTCGTAGCATCTTTGGTTCATCTGATGAATCAGATGAACCATCGCCGAAGCGAAGGCGCTCGGGGTCGCGAGACTCGGGCGCTAACAGTGGTGTCGGTTCTCCAATGGACACCACTTCACAGCGAGGTGCCAGTACTTCTGTGGGCACGTCGCAGGAAGAGCGGGACCGCAATGTGTTGCGTCTCGCTCCTGAGAAGAAGGCATGGATGCCTCCTAAATCAGTCATGGATCACTTGTCGGCGACGACGAGTGATCGTTATCGAACACGGTTGTCCGATTCGTCAAGGATCCATCACCTTGATCCCAGCGCGAAAAGCTATCGCGCTGAACATGAATTCTTCATCGATGCTTTCTTCAAACATCGATGGTACAGTGGGAATCACAA